AAAAATCCAGAAATCACAATGTATGATTTTTTAACTATTTATTTGTATGACACAGCTGCAAATAAGTTTTTGAACACCTGTCTTTATCTAGAATTCTGACTCTCAAAGACCTGTTAGTCTGCCTTCAAAATGTCCACCTCCACTCCATTTATTATCCTAAATTGATGACACCTGTTTGAGGTTGGCTGCATAAAGACACTGTCCACCCCATACAATCAGTAAGAATCCAACTACTAACATGGCAAGACCAAAGAGCTGTCCAAAGACACTAGAGACAAAATTGTACACCTCCACAAGGCTGGAATGGGCTACGGGGAAATTGCCAAGCAGCTTGGTGAAAAAAGGTCCACTGTTGGAGCAATCATTAGAAAATGGAAGAAGCTAAACATGACTGTCAATCTCCCTCGGACCGGGGCTCCATGCAAGATCTCACCCGTGGGTCTCAATGATCTTAAGAAAGGTGAGAAATCAGCCCAGAACTACACGGGACGAGCTGGTCAATGACCTAAAAGAGCTGGGACCACCGTTTCAAGGTTACGGTGGTATACACTAAGACGTCATGGTTTGAAATCACGCATGGCACGGAAGGTTCCCCTGCTTAAACCAGCACATGTCAAGGCCCGTCTTCAGTTTGCCAATGACCATTTGGATGATCCAGAGGAGTCATGGGAGAAAGTCATGGTCAGTGTCAAAATAGAACTTTTTGGTCATAATTCCACTAACGTGTTTGGAGGAAGAAGAATGATGAGTACCATCCCAAGAACACCATCCCTACTGTGAAGCATGGGGGTGGTAGCATCATGCTTTGGGGGTGTTTCTCTGCACATGGGACAGGGCGACTGCACTGTATTAAGGAGAGAGGACCGGGGCCATGTATTGCAGATTTTGGGGAACAACCTCCTTCCCTCAGTTAGAGCATTGAAGATGGGTCGAGGCGGGTCTTCCAACATGACAATGACCCGAAGCACACAGCCAGGATAACCAAGGAGTGGCTCTGTAAGAAGCATATCAAGGTTCTGGCGTGGCCTAGCCAGTCTCCAGACCTAAACCAATAGAAATCTTTGGAGGGAGCTCAAACTCCGTGTTTCTCAGCGACAGCCCAGAAACCTGACTGATCTAGAGAAGATCTGTGTGGAGGAGTGGGCCAAAATCCCTCCTGCAGTGTGTGCAAACCTGGTGAAAAACTACAGGAAACGTTTGACCTCTGTAATTGCAAACAAAGGCACTGTACAATATTAACATTGATTTCTCAGGTGTTCAAATACTTATTTGCAGCTGTACATACAAATAAATAGTTAAAAATCATACATTGTGATTTCTGGATTTTAATTTTTATATTATGTCTCTCACAGTGGACATGCACCTACGATGACAATTCAGACCCCTCCATGATTTCTAGTGGGAGAACTTGCAAAATAGCAGGGTGTTCAAATACTTATTTTCCTCACTGTACATCAGGGGAGCTACTGTCTTGTTAAGAGGAGTCGAGCTCCCCCGTAGTTGTTGACTGCGACCATCAGATTCCAGCAACAAGGAAATACGTTACTCTTTTACTCATGGATTTGTTTTTCCAATTTCTTAGCTGTCCATCACCTCCATTTATTGATTTCGCCTATTTAACCAAGAATGATAGAGCTAGAGACTGATGTAAGGAATTTATTGGGACCTTATTTATTGGAACTTCAAATATGTATATATTTGCTTAGTGTTTGGGCCCCTATGTACAAGCTTCAGATAGCTTAAAAAAGGGTGTCCCTTTTCACAAATATTCTGATTTTACTTGTTTTAATGTTTTGTGAAAAAACTAAACTGGACTAAAACTAACACTAAAACTAAACTAAAACTAAGCATTTTCCAAAAAAAATCTAAACTAACTAGCAAACCCACGTTAAAAACTAATAAAAACTAAACTAAAACTAAGCATTTTCCAAAAATAAAAACTAAACTAAACTAGCAAACCCACGTTAAAAACTAATAAAAACTAAACTAAAACTAAGCATTTTCCAAAATAAAAACTAAACTAAACTAGCAAACCCATGTTAAATACTAAAAAAACTAAACTAAAACTAAGCATTTTCCAAAAAAACTAAACTAAAACTAAGCATTTTCCAAAAATAAAAACTAAACTAGCAAACCCACATTAAAAACGAATAAAAACTAAACTAAAACTAAGCATTTTCCAAAAATAAAAACTAAACTAGCAAACCCACGTTAAAAACTAATTAAAACTAAACTAGCAAACCCATGTTAAAACTAAACTAAAACTAAGCATTTTCCAAAACTAAAAACTAAACTAAACTAGCAAACCCACGTTAAAAACTAATAAAAACTAAACCAAAACTAAGCATTTTCCAAAAATAAAAACTAAACTAAACTAGCAAACCCACGTAAAAAACTAATTAAAACTAAACTAGCAAACCCACGTTAAAAACTAATAAAAACTAAACTAAAACTAAGCATTTTCCAAAAATATTTTCCTAAACTAAAACTAAGCATTTTCCAAAAATAAAAACTAAACTAGCAAACCCACATTAAAAACTAATAAAAACTAAACTAAAACTAAGCATTTTCCAAAAATAAAAACTAAACTAGCAAACCCACATTAAAAACTAATTAAAACTAAACTAGCAAACCCATGTTAAAAACTAAACTAAAACTAAGCATTTTCCAAAACTAAAAACTAAACTAGCAACCCAGTTAAAAATAATAAAAACTAAACTAGCAAACCCACATTAAAAACTAATAAAAACTAAACTAAAACTAAGCATTTTCCAAAAATAAAAACTAAACTAGCAAACCCACATTAAAAACTAATTAAAACTAAACTAGCAAACCCATGTTAAAAACTAAACTAAAACTAAGCATTTTCCAAAACTAAAAACTAAACTAGCAAACCCACGTTAAAAACTAATAAAAACTAAACTAGCAAACCCACGTTAAAAACTAATAAAACTAAACTAAAACTAAGCATTTCCAAAAATACTAAACTAAAACTAAGCATTTTCCAAAACTAAAAACTAACTAAACTAGCAAACCCACGTTAAAAACAACTAAAACTAGCAAACCCACGTTAAAAACTAATAAAAACTAAACTAGCAAACCATTTAAAAACAATAAAAACTAAACTAAAACTAAACATTTTCCAAAACTAAAAACTAAACTAAACTAGCAAACCCACGTTAAAAACTAATAAAACTAAACTAGCAAACCCATGTTAAAAACTAATAAAAACTAAACTAAAACTAAGCATTTTCCAAAACTAAAAACTAAACTAGCAAACCCACGTTAAAAACTAATAAAAACTAAACTAGCAAACCCATGTTAAAAACTAATAAAAACTAAACTAAAACTAAGCATTTCCAAAACTAAAAACTAAACTAAACTAGCAAACCCACGTTAAAAACTAATAAAAACTAAACTAGCAAACCCATGTTAAAAACTAATAAAAACTAAACTAAAACTAAGCATTTTCCAAAAATAAAAACTAAACTAAATTAGCAAACCCATGTTAAAAACTAATAAAAACTAAACTAAAACTAAGCATTTTCCAAAAATAAAAACTAAACTAAATTAGCAAACCCATGTTAAAAACTAATAAAAACTAAACTAAAACTAAGCATTTTCCAAAAATAAAAACTAAACTAGCAAACCCACGTTAAAAACTAATAAAAACTAAACTAAAAAAAAGCATTTTCCAAAAAGAAAAACTAAACTAGCAAACCCACGTTAAAAACTAATTAAAACTAAACTAAAATTGAAAACAAAAAGTCAAACCGAAATAAAAATATAAACTAATGAAAAAATCCAAAACTATAATAACCTTGATTGTAACACACGTTTCTAACTAACGCGTATGATATTACCTGTTTTCTTTTAGTAATGTGTTATATTACTGCATTAAAGCAAAAAGCCATACATTACTGTAAATGCATTTCTTTTGTAACGCCTTACTCCCAACACTGATTGGGACTGAAATTGTTTTGAAATACTATAGAGATAAGCTACATTAATGGTATTCACACTAGCTAGACTGGTGTTTGTGTGGTGAAAATTAAAATATCCCCTCTCCTTTACCTCAAGTAAATGTAGCTGCAGTTAAGCAAGTACCAGTCATTAGGACCCATTGGGAATAACTCCAGCCCCCCTAAAATAACAACGTCCATATTTTAGGTTAGGATAAAACCCAAGTACAGAAATGCCAGCAGCAAAATGTACTTCACATGCGGACGTGAGAGAGATTTCAGCTTAGCCCCAAGGTATAATGGGACATGGACTGGATGCAGACGGGGATAAACACATTTGGAGCCAACGACCGATCTAGAGATTATCATTAAACATGTCTGTTATCAGTTGATGGAGGAGTGTTTTACAGACAGACTCACATTACAGGAGTCCTTTCCACCCTGGGTCAGACCAGCACAGATCATGTTGCTTGTGATGTAGCCATAGGCATTGTTACAATCCCTGTTGGAAACGATGGGAATATTCACCTCCTGCAGCTTCTGTGGGTAAGGAAGTGGAACTGAAAAGGAAAAATGCTTTTATGTTGATCTTGTATTATGCTTTTTGTCATTGTGAGTGTCTCACAATCTGATCTCTTCATTGTCTGAGACTTAGAGCTCCTTTGTTGCCCAGAAACTATTAAACCCATCAGAGTTCAGTAGTTCAGTAGTTCAGTAGTTTATTCTGACGCTCACCACATGTGGATTCAAATAGTTACCAACAGATGCACTTTTTTCTCCTGTTTGTCTGATAGAAACTACAACAAGCATCTGTTTGAGGACTTTTTATCCATGAAACCATATATTTGCAAGATGTTTTTAAAGGTTTACGTCTTCATGAGGAACCAATGGGCTTGGAGTCGAGAGCTACAGACAGAAAGTCAGACTGAGAGAAATGCTGCAGTCAAAATTTTTTTTTTGCTTAGGAAGGTTCCTTAGCATAGGGTACTGGACCATCATTTACGAAAGGAAAGGAGAGAATGCCGTCCCACAATTCCTCGCGGCAGTATATTTAAAACCGTTCTCAAACTCAAATGATGAAATCTCTCAACCGTATTCAACCGCTTTTTTTTTACTGGACTCATTTATGATACTTGAATAAGTATTTTTACAATTTCCTTCTTTCTTTTAGTTTGTTTTCTTTTGGCTTTGCTGTAATCTAGTACTTTTTCAACACTATTTTATGTTTCGGAGTGTTGTATTAGAATGTTCCATCCATCTATCCATCGTCAACCGCTTATCCGTTTAAGATTTCACCCCAATTCTCTCACATTTGTTAACTTTGGTCTGGAACATCCCAGACATTCACTACATTGAATACGTACAAAGAAAAAGGAAGGAAATAATAATAAATAAGCAGTCTCTGAGTAGTCTTCTGGTTTATTAGAAGTAAGAGAAGTGACATTTGGAAAAAAATGAACGAGCACGCGTGTGTTATTTAGCACAAGACCTGACAGCCTGTGCATCTTTAAACCATGAAGCCAGACAGAGTTGGGGTGGATACAGACAGCTGACAGCAGAAATTACAGACGTGGATTTTACCAGATGGAAGGCTATAACATGGGACAGATTTTTTCAGAGCGGTCCTGAAGTTTTCTGTTTTCTGCTGGACAGGTAATTAACTTAAGTTTGTCAGACTTTAGCGACGCAAACGAAAGCTACATTTTCGAGACAATCAGCTGATCAGTAATGTTAATTGGGGCGGCTGTGGCTCAGGAGGTAGAGCGGGTTGCCCGTTAATCGGAAGGTTGGTTGTTCAATCCCCAGCCTCCAAGCTGCATGTCGAAGTGTTCTTGGGCAAGATCCTGAACCCCGAATTACCCCTGGTGGCAGTTCCACCAGTGTGTGAATGTTAGTTTCTGTTTGAGCACTTAGGCTCAGTGCATGGAAACATCAGCCAGCTAAACTTCTACTGCCCTGGTAGAAAAAACATGTAGGTGGATTATTTTCATGTCACCTACTTATTCTCCAGCCTGTGGTTTGGCATTGCTGGTTATGTTGAGACAATCAGCTGATCAAAACATTAATTGGCATTAAACAGATGCGCATGAAAGCTCAGATCAGCCAGCTAAACCGGTATGAAAGACAGCCGGTAGAAAACATATGTTGTTGGATTGTAATTTCATGTAGTTAATCTCCAGCACTCTTTTATGGCTTTGTTAGGAAGACAGATTTGTGCCAATAACTTTCCTGAGACAAACAGCTGATAAATATTATTGGCAATAAAACGGTAACAGCAGGGAAGCTGAAATTATGGCTGTCAGTGCTACTTGGCTTATCTAATTACGCAAAGCAAGAGTAGCTTTGATCCTTACCTGAGAATGCATTTGTAAACTTCATGTATTATGTGGTTTATAATGGACTGTGGTGCAGAAACAGTGAGGCTTACATTGGCCTGTTATCTGTCAGTGGCCATACTTGATGCACTAGATGTGATAGTTTTTGAGATGTTCTTCATTTACTTTGAGTAAATTTGAGACATCATGTAGCACTTCATATCTTGATGTGGCTGGTGTTTATTGATGAACAAATAACAATAATACGGGGGTGTAGAAATTCTTGTAATTCGCAACCCTCACGACTAGATGTCACTGGAACTTACACACTTAACCTTTAAAAAAAAACATCTGAGTACTTCTTCCACCACTGTTTTTTACATTTTTGAGGTTTTATTTTTTTTATTGTCATCATGTTGCTCCTCTGCAGTGGTTCTGGTTTATATAAATGTGTGGTCTATTGTGGTTTTGTTTCCAAAACCCAACAATAAAAATGTAAGAATTCATAAAATCATTCACAATCAACAAGACAGTTAAAAATTATAAAATAAATTCTCACCCCCAAATTGGATGTCTCCCCATCCGGTGACCCAGCAGGTCATCCCGGCATTAAAGACGCTGCCTTTTGCCGCCAGACACACGGGTCTGATGTAGTCAGTGATAGAAACAGGCGAGGACAGTTGCAGCAAGGCTATGTCGTTGTTGAGTGTTTCGTCATTAAAGTCTGAATGCGTGATGATCTTGGAAACAGTCCGGGACACCTCGTTAGGGTTAGAGAGTTTTTGGGTGTGACGTCCGAGGTAAACGATAAGACCAGATGTGCTGGGGCTGAGAAACAGAAAAGACAACATAGAGTATGCCTAGGTAATATTTTTACCCCTTATAGTACCTTAACGTTGATACTGATGCATAAGGGTTAAATATTCTACAATGCTGTAACTGTTAAATAATGTTTAATAAATAAGTCATCATGAGAAGTATTATAAACATTCATTTCAACAACATTTATTTTTATTCCTTGTTTTTATTGGAGTTCATTCTTTTGTGTCATTATAACATTTAGGTTAAACACTTTTTCTTTGAAACTGCTAAATTCAAACAAGTAAATATGAGTTTATTCACATTTTGGAACCATTATTATCCATTTATGTTGACTTGCGTTAATGTTTACAGCTGAGCCTACCAGCACTGACTGACTAAAAGACTCGTGACTACGTCAGAAACACTGGAAATTATTAAGAAATTGATCTGTAAAACCTAGATGAAAGCATATATATCAGCTAATGAGTTTAGTTTTGACCATTTATTAAATAATTTAGCAATTCATGAACCACCATTGTTTCTTAATGTCATCAACAATACGTTTATTCTTTTGCTTCCATATATCATTTAAGACTTAGGGACTGAGAGGGGGAATTAAAGCCATGGGATTAATCTTAGAATTTTGAGGAAAAATAAAGTTTAAATAGTTTTTTGTTTCTTTCATTAAATTCAAATTCAGTCTCAGAAGTCACAATTGTACACTATACAAGCTCACTCTGTGTCATGAAGTGAGTCATATGACAGGATTGAAGTTCACCTCTCGAAACAGTGAGCAGCAGTCAGAATCCACTGGTCATTGATCAGAGAACCTCCACATTCATGCTTGTTGTTGAAGTGCAGACTGGCCATCCAGGGCCACCATCCTGCAGGAGCATCCTCCCCTACGATCCTGAGGGAGAGAGGCGCAATGCCACAAACTGGAGGGAAATAGTCAACTCAATTCAATTTTATTTATATAGCGCCAAATCACAACAGCATTTTCTTTCATAAAACTTTCATAAAAGAGCCTGCAGCGGTTACATGAACCGCTGCAGGCTCTTTTATTATTATTATTCAGGTGCTGTTTTTGTTTCTTTCTGGTTGCTATCAGGTGTCTGGATGCCTGTCATGTGTGGAATGTTTCTGTTCTAAAGGTTCACTATATAAAATTTAGTGGCATCCATATGGGGGTAAATCTACGGAAGAGGATTAGGGCCACATGTGAATTTTTTGGAGTTCTGAGATTAAAGTCAGAATTCTGAGAAAAAAAAAAAGTGATGCTCTCACATGGGACCCACAGGTCCCCATACTTCTGACTTTAATCTTTGACCCTTAGCCTTTAATCCAAGCTGGGCCAGCATAGCTCCTTTTCCCATCTCTCTTTGCTCTCCTCTGAGATGATCAGAGCCACCGGGGTGCCTGGTCCAATTTAATTAATTACATTAACCATGCCTTTTCAGCAGTAGTTCTATATAATCATCATCTATGCCCAGTTCAAAGTAAAATTCAATAAGTTGATCCATACTGGGGCGTTGCGCTGGGAGCAGCTGAGCGGAAATAGACACTGCTATAGCTCAGAAGGAATGCAATAAGAAAAGCATTGCGAGGGAATGCCAAATATTGTGAACACAAAAGTAGTAGTAGTAAAAATTTCCTCGCTGTGACCCTTCACGGGCTCTGTATGTTGTGATCTCTGTTTGAAGCCTTTCCTTATGTTTTGTATAAACAGAAAATGGGTAAATCAGCTATGTGTTAACTTTGAAAAAGAGAAATTAAATGAATAAATATGGAAACTCACCATCTAATTGTGCGTTGCTTCCTGTGGGAGAGAAAATAAAACATTTTGTTATTTATAGGGAACTGCTTGTTTGCTGTACAGTGATTTCTAAAATTTTACATTTCTGAGGAAAAGAATCAAAGAAATGTGGTTGGGAAACCCTGGTCTAAGCTAAATAACTGTATAAAGTTGTTAAAAATAGCTATACTAGCAAAATGTGCTAAATTAATTAAACTGTATATAAAACAGTTAAAACTAGTAAAGTGTAAAACAAGCAGCTACAACAGTAAAATGCTGCTCACACATTGATGCATCAGTCACAGAAGACATTTTACTGTAGAACCAGTGCTCTAACTACAGATTAACTACATTTTTACTGATAACAATAATATGACTTCTATAACGTTTTAAATGGAGGATTGTTTTTACTTTGTTAAATTTATACTTTCATTTCAGTAAAGGATCTGAATACTTCTTCCATCTCTGCTGTAGGGTAAATATGAATCTAGCCCTGCAGCTGGCTAACTAGCTTAGCATAAAGACTGAAATCAGCTAGCCTCAGTATGTTTATTTCCCTGTTTGGATCCTTTGACTGGTCATTACAGCATCGTAAAACAGGAAAAACTAATAAAATAATAAAAACATAACATCATAAAACTGTAAAATAATCAGTCGATAAAACATAAACTATAAAGGACTTTAAAAAAACACAAGACTGCATTAGTCAGCATTAGGCGAGACAAGGGCCAGTTTAATTTAAGCTTCAGTTGCTTTTTGCGTGAATTTGCTGTAAGTAGATAATTACACTGAAACAGAAGAGTCAGTCTCTATTATTAATATTTTCTTTTAACTATGAAAATAGATCACTTTCTTGTAATAGGAGAGCATTGGGTTGACTCTTACCCCTTTTCTTCATTCTATTGTTTTTATTTTATGTCCTCTATGTGTTTTATTTTTAGCATTTTTTTGTTTTTAATGCTTAGCACTTTGGGATTTTTTAAAATAGTAAGTGCGATATAAACGAAATATATTATTATTAGGGGTCCATGCTTGAACCACGAATGCAAGGCATCGCTGTGCCCAGATCCAACAAAAAACATTGCAATTATATGCTAATAAATCTTTGGAATGGCTGATCGACACCAAATTTGGAGCATTAATGTGGGACGCTCCCCTGAGGGCCTGTGCAAAATTTGGCGCAACTTGCCCCTATGTGGCGCTATATAGAATCCCAATAAATTGTTCCTCTATAATCACAACTCACATTGACATGAAACCAGAGCCGAATTGTTCAGCATGTTCCCCTTACTACAGGCACCAATGTTCACCAAAATATGCCCATAGGTGGCGCTGTAATTTCACATTAAAGACGTCAAAAAAAAATCCCATTGACTTAAATGCAATAACAAAATGCGAAACTTGACGACCTTATGTGCCATGCCCCCCTGAGGGGCTGTGCAAAATTTGGTACAGGTAGCCCCTAGTTGGCGCTGTTGAAAAAAATCCCATTGACTTACATGCATTTTATATCTCCATAACCACAAACCAAATTTGGGGCAATTGTTCCCCATTCAATTCAATTTTTAATTCAATTCAATTTTATTTATATAGCGCCAAATCACAAGAACAGTTATCTCACAGCGCTTTTCATAAAAGAGCAGGTCTAGACCGTACTCTGTGATGCTATTTACAGAAGCCCAACAATTCCCACCAAAAGCAGCACTAGGCGACAGAGGCTTTTAAGAGGCAGAAACCTCGAGCAGAACCATGGCTCAGGGTGGGCGGCCATCTGCCTCGACCGGTTGGGGTGAAGAAGAGAGAGGGAGAGAGAGAAAAAGAGAGGGAGAGATGGAGAGAGACCGAGTGAATGATACCAAATTAGGTGTAATTGTTCCCCATGGGCCCCTGATGACACCTAAAAAAATTTGGTGCAATTCCACTTACAGGTGGCGCTAAAATCAAAGCTGAAATCTCTCACTAAACTCCATTCATTCCAATGGCATTTTCAAATGCAGGACATTTTGCCTCTTTATGGAATGGCCTATTCAAGACCAAACTCGGAGACCTTATGCGGCACCACAGCGGGGCACCCGGGCCGACTCGCGCGCCCTCCGTGGGGCCAGGGGGGGAGGCTTGGACCCCGCTTACAACTGCTTGCAGTTCTAGTTATTATTATTATAATTAGAACATGTGATCAACATTCTCTACTGAGAAAAAATTTAACAGGACTCACCTGTAACCGCGAAGACCACGAGCACGACACCACAAACTAACAGCTTGACCTCCATCGTGCGATTCTTCCAACTGTGTCTTGTAATTTATGGAGAAGCTAAACAGCCTGGAACAGGACGGTGTGACTCTGTTTGGTCTGGCTGGAAGATAAGTCAATTTATAAGGAAAAACAAGGTCAAACATATTATTAAGCCATAAACGTGGACTCCAGGTATTCAAGAGCAAAGAGCAAATAGAAGAAATAAAGAGTGAAATGTGCTGCCATCCACACAGTTGGATTCTGAGTACAGCATCTTTAAATGTGAATTAAAAGGTCTCTTAGATTAACAGTGTGACTTGTGGTGAGAGAATATTGGTCTTAAAAAGAAACGTTTATAATTTTACATGCTTATTGTGGTCAAACCTTTTATGGAAATTAAGTTTCGGCTTAGTTAAAAATTACTTTCGGTTAGTGTTTCAGGCATCAATTAACAGATATCAGTCAATATCGATTAGTAAAAGCAGTAAGAATTACAGAATAATGTTGGAGATTCTTTCTAATTCCCTCATTTGATTTTCTTAATTTTGTAGGATTGGAACAGTCCTTTCTTTGGTGGTGTGTGGAGGCAACATCATGAACGACACTGTGGCAATACCTTTAATATTTCAATGCCTTTTATGCTCACATCGTGTAGTAAATACACTTCTGTTTAATTAACTTATAAACACAAGGGGTTCAATAGAGGCACATTTTACACCCTGCTTCATTTCCCTTTTGTTAAATACAGAGTTAGAGGAAGTATTCAGATCCTTTACTGAAGTAAAAGTACTAATATAACACCTAAACAATTCTCTATTTCAAGTAAAATGCTGCATTAAAATTGTTACTTCAGAAAAAGTAGTAAAGCAGTAAAATTCAAATCAGTGCTTAGGCACATTCATTTAATGACACTCACTGACCTCAAGGTGGCGATGTAATAATCTTTACGTTTTAGCAATTATCTCGAACAGCTCGGCCAAGAGTTCATATTCTTTCTACATTTTCACCTTTCAACATGTCTGCATCCGGTCTTCTGCTCTAATTTTTTCCCTTAATTTTCTCAAAATCCTATCTTTGACTTCTCATTAGAAAGTACTGGGTCAATCGTCCCAACACTTCAGGATCATCTACAGAATGAAAGAAAATTAGACACTTCAATCTGTTTCAATATACAAACCGATCAGTTTTTACTAAAATAACAACAAATGTAGTCGTGTGAAAATTCACTGAAAGTCATAAGTTACATAAAATGTTTGTTAAACAACAGAGCAGCAAAATAGAGAGAACACTATTCATTAATCAATTAAAAAGGAAAATCAAGAGTTTTTCTTCTTGTCAGTTAAATAAGAAACTATAATCCAAATACAAGCAGTCTGCTTGGACCCTGATCGTTACAGCTTGTTGCTATATTTATTGTTAGTTTAATGTTTTTAGGCTTCAATTTAAAAAAAAATCTATTTTTACCTTATTCATCTCAAAGTCCAAGAAGTGACTTGGTGACATATAGTAATGTTTTATTGCTGTGTACCTTGATAACTGCATTTATAGCACTGCAAAGTAGATACAGTATGTGTCACTCCAATATTACATGTTCTATAAAAAGTATTCATCACTATTTCAAAATTGGCTTTTTTACAACATTAAATGAAAGATTTCAGGTGACTTATTACTAATTTACAGTAGACTTTATTCGCTCTATAGAGATCCAGTTTCCCTTTGATGTTAAAGTCTCTATTTCTGTTGGTTAGTGTCTAATAAAAAACAATAAATCTATTATCATTCAGTGTTGTAAAACAGGCACTTTAACGTTGCACAATTTGCTTTTTACCCCTGTAGGGTTGTCAGGGGGTCATGAGACTTTGCCCGTCCAGTCTACATGTGTTTTTGTGGACCAGGGAGTCCTGTAGGGGCACTGTGGAGTATGCGGGACCAGAGCTGTTGCTGCGAGCACGCCGCTACTTGTATATCCAAAGTGAGAGCTGTCAGGCGGACCCTAGCGGAGAGGATGGAGAGGTTGGAGCCTGGGTGAGGAGCTCAGACATCAAGAGTGAGATGTAGTAGTACAGCCCTTCCAGTCTCACCCTCTCCAGCGGGGGAGGGGGGAGAGCCAAACAGCAGCCCTTTTGGCCATGGTGCGTGTGCAAATGCGTCTACGCCCAAGGGCGGACTGTCCTGTGGTAGGATCGAGAACCACAGCAGGCAGTGCGTGTTGGGCCGTCTGGCATACAGGTCCACCTGCGCCGTCCCGAACCAAGACCAGATCTGGCCACCTCCTCCTGAGAGGACAGGTTGGCTTCCTTGATGCCCTGGAAAGACGGTAGGATACGGCAAAATTGTAGGGAGTAACCCCACCTCAATATGCCGTCCAGAAAGCTTTCTTGGCCCTCACTGCCACCAAACCCTCCATAAATGGGAGTTTGGCCCAAGGGGTGCCACAATTGAAAGGGCCAAAAAAACGAGTGGACTGTGGTGTCCTGAACGCACCACGGCCGGTCGCTCCGTTGACGTCATTGCCTGCAACAGTGTTGTCGTAGCGTCTTTGGTGACGTGTTCACTATCGGAAGAACTGTTGTGAGGAGCAGTGACGAGGAGAGTTCTCCTTTCCACAGCTGTTGGCCACTGTGGGAGAGATTGTGTCCCCTCTGCTGCCAAACGGCGCAGCGAGCCGCTCGCGATCTTCCCTGCTTCGTTATGACGGGAGAGACGTGGCCAGTGGCAGCATCTTTCCAGCAATAGCGGGCCAGGCCGCTGCTACATGGTTACGACCTCTCATTGGAGCAGTTGCCTGTACTAGCAGCACGCCCGAGCGGGTTCACGTAAGCGAGCTGGGAATGCAGGCTAGGATCAGATAGCATTGTGCCGCTTCGGCTTGTTTCTCCGCCATCATGCCGTGGAAGCCAATTGTGGCGCATGTCAGGCGGTTAGCTTAGCGCCGTGTTGATGGGGCATGTTCAGCACAACACTTTGCTGGGAAGGGGTTGGTGGGGAGGAATTAGCTCTTTGAGGAATGTAGGTTGTTTTAATCAAAACATTTGGCACATTCACAACATTGTCACAAGCAGCACACAACATATTAACATAGTGGCTTGGACATGAGACGGAGGGGAGGGGCTCGGCATCTCCGTCCTCAGCCACTCATTTCAGCAGCTGCTTCTTCCCCAAGCTGCAGGTATGGCTAGCGGGGGGGGGTCTAGGCTGCTCCTCTGGCTGCGATATATATCCCTTAGCCTGGGCGGGATCCCTGGGTGGCACGGTGTCTTGGGGAGGGTGCTGAGGCGGTTGAATGGGGGCCGGAGCATCCTCCTCAGCGGGGAGGGGATCCGGGTCTTCCTCGCTCTCCTCGCAGATGAGGGAGAGCTCACACTGCCGGAAATACCATCTCTGGCGTGGTCCCTGCCAAGGCATTCAAAGCAGAAGTGATGAGTGTCGACCCCAGCGATCAGTCCGGGGCACGAACAGGCCAAGACCAGCTTAAAGGAGCGGCGACTCCATCCGTGGAGGTGAAGGTCAGTGGGCGGTTCGCCGTCTGTCAGAAAAAAAAAGGATGCTGAGCAGTGAGGACACCGCTATTTATACTGTACGCACGTACAGTAGCGACGTCCAGTTGGTCAGCTACTTCCAGCATGCAAAATTTCATTGGGCGAGTACGTGCGTGTGATAGGAGGAGAGGTAGTACTCATAGAGTCCAGTAGAAGGCGGAGTGATATAGATGTGAGATAGAACAGATGCCAGTGTTCCCTATGCATTCAGCACAGCACCGCTGCGGAATAAATAACCTGCCCACTAAAATGTCACACAATCATTAATATCAATGTGCAAGTAATGAATAGGAGAATGAAAGTTAGTGGAGGAAAATATTAGCAGTAAGTTTCAGCCCGGTAGTAAACGTGCAGTGTAAGTCACAGTGTGTCCGTTAATAAAAGTCTTTCCACTGCTGGAAAAGTGAAGCCTGTTAGCACTAGCACATTTTTGGCTACGTTAGTTAAATTAGTATCGAAGTAATGTTAATTAGCTCAGCTGTAAGTCATTCTAACTTTCCTAAAGTTAACCCTACTTTTCAAGGTTTGAGAACATCTGGTACAAGCTTAGACTAAACTGGTGTACAGCTCTGTCCTGTACACATAATGTCCATCCTGATAATTATATTTCAGTTTTTAGAGGAGTCTGACAACTGGTTGTTAAAGAAACAAAGGACCATGGAGCTGAGGTTAATGAAGTAAATTAGGGATGCAAACTTGTCCTTTTAAGCTAATTAGGAGATGTTTCTAGTTAGGAGTCATCAGAACCCTGCACCACCGAGCTGAGAATATACCAACCAGTGCCCAAGAGAAGGGAGAGAACCACCTGAAAGGGGCACTAAAAGCAGATACCCTAAATGGACCTTTGTGAAAACAGCCACGAGTACCAGGAAGAACAGCAACACTACGAAGGAGGAGGAAAAGAAGTTCAAACACAACAACATTGTTACAGTATAGGTCTATGCTCCTCGATGAGCAAAATGGGTGTAGTGCAGTGAAGTCCATGTAATTTTGATGTAACTGTGTACAGTATGACTGTCCAGTGTGTAAAAAAGAACCTTACCAATGACATCATGATTTTGCATTTTCTAAGAACAGCCAGACGACTTTCTGAGGGTGGAAGACAACGTCAGTTCAGCCATCAACAGGAACTGGCTATTGTCAGTACGGTGTTGGCAAACAACGCCATCCGCCTACATCAACTACGAGAGCAAATCCTTGCTGATCACACAACATTCCTTAATATACCGAGCTGTCAGTGCAAGACTCCTGAAGAAGAGAGGAGGTGGCCTCGATGATGCTCGGTGCACAAACACAGTCAAGATGTTTCCCCAAAGTCAGACTGTTTAATGTGAAGGTGAAACCAGATTATCATTTTGTTGCTGCTGTTTACATTCTCCCGGACGCAAATAAAAAAAAAACTGCAGAATGTTCTTTATATGTGTATGTACATGTATGTATATATGTATATAAATAAACTATTGTTTTATTTGATTTATTTATTTAATTATCTGTTAAATTCTGTGTGTGTAGAATGAAGGGACTACAAACCTTGTGTTGTACAATGAAAAATAAACAACCTTGTATCATATTATTAAGTTAATATTATCGCTGTATTAAGATGTGAGCATCATTTCAATGTTGTAGACGGACGAGGTGGAGATAATTTAAACTGCTTTATATTCTGCTGGGAAGAACTCTGCACATGGAGGTTTCATCATAAAGTTATGATGGAAAAATACACAGTAGGTGACACAGAGCAGCTGAATTATACTGATTCACTCTTTATGTCCGTCTACACTGACAACTGGACCGAGACTGAGGAGTCCTGCTGTCTGCTCACAGATGAAACTGGTTAAACTGCCTCAGTGTTTCCTGGGAACAGATGACCTTGATTTGAAACGAGTAAACACTGTCGACACCATGAAGGCCAAAGTAACGTTTGTACAATCTGTGCATCCATCACTCACAGAAGAAGTACTCAGATCCTATACCTTGAGTAAAAGTATCAATACCACAATGTACAAATACTCCATTACAAGTCAAAGCCTCTATTCAAAATCCTACTGAACTACTAAGCAAAAGTACAGAAGTGTTATCAGTTAAATGTACTTTAACATCAAAACTCAAAGTAACTATGCCCACATTGACTGATAATGTGCTTTTCATTTCTCACTGATTGATTGAGCTGCGCTCCACGCGATCCATTACCCTTTTACGTGATCTTTTTATGGAGGTCAGGAGTAGGGTTAGGGTTGTTGTTTTTTTTCTCCAGTAACACATGACTTGTTACAAACTGGATCTGCCAGTTTACAAACATTCCAGACACGTTCATCAGGGCTGCTAACTTTTCATTTAGTTTGGAGGGAGATTCAGTATGTGTGAAGTTTGTGCGAGTCTCTGACTTTACCCACTGCAGCGGTAGGGGTCATCACTCCTCAGCCCACAAAAACTTAAGCAACCAAATTCACAATTTTAAAGCACATATAAATAATAAGCCGATTCAATAATCAAATATAAACCTTTAATAAGTATGGTTGATGGAGGGAATTCTGCTGATGAATGAACACCTTGAGGTGAGCGCTTCATCTGTCTAATTTAAAAAGTAAAAAAAAGCTTTGTTGTTTTATTTGCCATCGTGTCAGTCAAACATGTTACGACCATACAATTCATCTGTTTAACTAAATCTTTATGTGAAAGACTTTAAATCTAAATGATCACAAAATTGAAACAAAACGTTAAAGAAAGGAAACAAATCAACTGTGAGATTGAATATTGGTAAATTAGTTGAATTTTAAAGCCCTTTAAAATTACATTTTAAAATGTTAATCATTAATTTATTATTTATTCATTAAATGGTCAATTTAATGATCTATAAATATCTTTTTCTAATTATTTTTTAAAGGGGCCATTTTATTAACTGATTATAATCAAACACACAAGTTACAATTAACACTCCAGGTTTCATAATTCATATTTATTTAATTTCATGATGTTGAAGATGGTCGATACCAACAAGTTTAAAGTTCTTGGTTGGTCCAAATCTTTGAGTACATCGGGCCTTGTGAAGTTATAAATTACATATTTCTCTATTTTCTGCCATTTTAAAGACAAAATGAGTAATCAATTAATGGAGAAAATAGTCCAATCAAAATTAGAACCACACAACTTCTGGTAATACTTAAACAAAACCAATTAAACTTCCTGTGAAAGGACAAAAGAGGAGAATAGGAAAGGTAAGATGGACAGTAGCATAGGAACCGAGAGGGGAACCAGGTGAGCGGTTCCAGAGCCCAGGTGGTTGGTGGTGGTCTGGCTGGGAGTGGTCCCAGAGCCCAGCTGGTTGGTGGTGGTCTGGCTGGGAGTGGTCCCAGAGCCCGGCTGGTTGGTGCTGATCTGGCTGTTGATCCAGGACTGATACTGGGACACTCGGGTGAAGCCTTGTGGAAAATTAGGCAGGGCACAGCCTCTTCCAAAACTCAGCACTCCAGCCTGGACCCAGACAGAGACGTTTTTAGTCACCAGCGGGCCTCCTCCATCCCCCTGCAGATGTCAGACAGGTCGGTTATACTTCATACTTCTGCTCTCAGAGGGAAACACTGTCCTTTTTATTCACCAGTCAGATCTATTGATTAGTGCAGATTTAAACATGTGTGTTATCAGTTGATGGAGGAGTGTTTTGCAGACAGACTCACATAGCAGATGCCCTGTCCTCCCTGAGTCACACCAGCACAGATCATGTTGTTTGTGATTTTACCACCGTAGGTAACGTTACAATCACTGTTGGACACAATGGGAAGACTCACCTCCTGCAGCCTCTCTGGGAAAGGAAGTGGAGCTGAAAAAGAAAAAGAGATATTAATGTTGAGCAGTACTTCCCTCTTGTCCTCTGTGTTAAGGTTTATCCAGCTAAGATATACAGGACAAAGGGATTTGGGCCCACCCACCTACCTTCTGTTGCCCCAAATACTCACTAGAGCACCACATGTGGATTCATCCACCACTGAAAATAGTGCAACATCAAATGTACTATTTCCTCCTGTTTATTTGACAGAAACGTCAGCGAGCAGCTGTTTTAGGAAATTACTGAACCTTTTTAAACATGAAACTATATATCTGTGAAGATTTATGTCTTCAGGAGGAACCAATGGGCTCGGAGCTGAGAGCAACAGACAGGAAGTCAGACGGACTGACATGTTGCTGGTTTTCATGTCTTTTCATGGAATTTGTTGACAGTAAGAAAAATCCAAAACATCAAGGCCTTTCCCTTTAAAGGTCCAGTGTGTAATATTTCTGAGGATCTATCGACAGAAATGCAATATAAGATCCATAACTATGTTTTCAGTGGTGTATAAAGAACTTACATAATGAACCATTATGTTTTTATTACCTTAGAATGAGACATTTCTATCTACATAACCGCGGGTCCTCTTACACGCCGCCACGTTGCATCGTCGAGTTTCAACAGTAGCTGAAAACGGACAAACAGGCTACAGATCGCATTTCGTCACTACGATCTTCTTGCTCTACTTCTGGTAGAATTCAGGCAGTGCAGACACCACTGTGTCGAATACATTCATTAGAAGATGAAGAAGTAGTAATAGTAATAATATACTGCAGAGCTCAGTCCGTAAAGTGCAGGACTCACAATTCAAGGATTCAATCATTTAGGGGAATCACTAGTGAGTAACTGTTGCTGTCATGGCTGAGATCTATTTCAGCACCACTATCAAAAAATTTATTTATTTATATTTTTGCCACTACCAAAGCACCATAATCTGGCAGCGGGTTATGGCGAGGGTCCATAATCACAGACAGAATTAATTCCTTTGTCAATGTTAATGTAATAACTATCTAATGTGTGGTTTATAATGGACTGTGGTGCAGAAACAGTGACAGTGTTTCACACTCTTGGCTCACATTTTCCATGTTATCTGTCAGTGGCCAAGTCACAATAACACATGGTTTTACTGAATAATTTAGTAAATATAATTTCTTAATAAATATACCTAAAGAAACCTGATTTCTTGACTGATGTTTGGACACATAAATCACGTGAGAGCACCCACACAGACGCAGAGGTTAGAACCAAAGCAGACATACAGACTTTGATAAGTGAGGTTGTTTTGCACCTTCAGCTGAGACAGAAAGAAAAGCCAACAGGGATATCTGCTAAATACAAGAATGATGCATATCAGCGCATGCCTGAACACATAATCAATGTGGCAGGGAAAGGTATCAGATTTCTAGTTGACCCAGTGGCAGCAGCGCCAGTTGCAAAAGCTTTCATAAGCCAGGTCATTCCTCGCTGGGGAATCCCAGGCAAAATCTCTAGTGATAATGGTACACCTTTCATTAGTGCAGCATTGGGCATAGTAGGAGAGAATATGGGATTAATCTGAGGCAACATTGTGCTTATCATCGATGATAGTTTGCCACATAATTGGAACAGACTGTTGTGCATCCCAGATGTCTCAGACAATATGACTCATGTTGTCTCACATCTGAATGATGAAAAGCCAGGACTCAGGGAACACTGGGGGATGGGACATGTGGTCATGGCTGACAACAGGCAGTTGGAAGAATATGCTGATAAAATTGTTGACCCCACTGTTTGCAATTCTTGGTGCTTTCCTCCTCCTGACATGATGTGTGATCCCTTGTGCTAGATCTATGATAGCTGCAGCAGTTAAATCATCAATGGGTCAGTACATGCAACTACCAACTGAACCCGCTGATTCAATGGAGTGGATCCCACCTTTCAGAGGGGAAGAAAGTGAAGTTTATTCTGTTTAATCTGCATTATTTTCATTCACATCCTTATATTTTGACTTATATATTTTACATTTTATTGTTTTTTTCCTTATATTCTCACTTTACTCATATTGTTACATTTTTACATAATCACAAAGTACTGCCGAAGTTACATGAAATGTTTAAAGTCTGACTAATTTTTCTTAGCATAAAATGCTAAAAGGGAGTAAATGTAATGGGACTTCCATGAGTACCAGCTCCAAACACAGTCGTGTAATTAATGTTACTCCTTGAGGGCATCCGGTTGCTTGGGTACGGGGTCAATGGAAGGTAAATGTTTGTGATGCTGTGTCTAGGGGGACATGATCTTAAGTGTTTTATAACATGTACCCGTGCATGATTGTCTCACGATAGATTCAGATTGAGTGTCTTCTAGGGAAAAATCAAAGTCATCATGTTCCGGGGGTGAGATAGTGCTCTGACCCTGAGATTAGGCTAAAAGCTGCATGTCTCACTCGGATGATACTTTGATGCGTGTGTGTCCCATTGAGTTCCTTCTGCAGAACACAGGAAGACCAGTGCTTGCCTGAGCTGTTTGTTTGAAACCCCCGGAAAGCCAGCACACCACTCTCTGCTGTCAGAAGAGACACGTTTTGGCCTGTGTCAGCCACCGTAGCTGTCCTATGCTCTGGGAAAGGTTAGGGGGCAGTGGTAGACTGGACAGATGGTTGCAATTCACAACCCTCGTCAATGGATGCCACTAAATCTTATACACTGAACCTTTAAACACTATTATAAAATGGCCCTTACAGTGTAAAGGTCAGCCTTTTTGACTTTGACCTGAGGCAACCAAAAATCAGTGGACAGGCTCAGTGGTTTCTATTTCATGCATTCCTGCTGTAAAAATCCCATTCATCTTTCACATACACGGCGTTTGGTGAGTCACAGTTGAGCACTTCAAGTCTTGGATGGACATGAAACTCTCCTGTTTAAATCATCAGTACAAAAGATGAACAACTGTAAGAAAATATCCATCTGTCCATTTTCTGCCTCTGATCTACAGCAGGGTCTCTGTGGCAGCGGGCCAATCATGTTCCAGACGGCAATGATCCATTACTGAAGTAGAAGTCCTGCATATAACATTTTACTTCACTAAAATCACAGAAGTATAGTGAGAAAGTTCCAAAAGTGATTTAGCATTTTTCTGGTTTACGTGGACTTTTAATTACGTCATCTTGTCACCCATGAATGTGTGGTGTCTTTTGGTGTCGTCGTTTGCAAAACACAACAATAGAAACTGAATTAATCCAGACAATCATTCACCATTAACAGAACATTTTTAAATGACTGTTGAATAAATTTAAATTCTCACTCCAAGTTTGGATTCTCCCCCATCCGGTGACCCAGCAGGTCGTCCCGTTGTTAAAGACGCTGCCATCCATCGCCAGACACACGGGTCTGATGTAGTCGGTGAAGGTAACAGGTGAGGACAGCTTCAGCAAGGCTATGTCGGTATCGTTTGTGTTGGTATTATAGTTGGGATGCTGGATGAACTGGGACACAGTCCGGGACATCCCGTTTGTATTAAACAAGTCTAGGGTGTCAAGGCCGAGGTTAACGGTGAGACCGGGTCTGACGCTGAAAAGCAGAAAAGACAACATGTTTAAATATGTGATGGATACTGGTGCTGACTGTGTGTGAATTTTAAACTAAACTATCTTTAAATAAGTGACGTATACATATATATATGTGCGAGATGAGACATGTAGTTCATCGAGCGGTTTCACACAAAACTAAATATTACTGTTTTACAACAAACTGTAACATCGGCTGTGGCTCAGGAGGTAGAGCAGGTTGGCTGTTCAGAAGGTCGGCGGTACAATGCCGGCTCCCCCAGGCTGCGTGGTAAGTATCCTTGGGCAAGATACTGAACCCCGAATTGCCGGGCGGCTGTTCCGCCAGTGTATGAATGTGTGTGAATGTTAGTTTCTGTTTGAGCACTTAGGCTTAGTGTATGAATGTGGTGGGGCACTGCAGCTCACTCGGGTGAATGCAGATGTAGTGTAAAAGCACTTCGAGTGGTTGAAAAGACTAGAAAGGTGCTATACAAATACGGAGCATTTACATTACTGTGACTTTCTTGACTTAAATTATTTTTAAATTTGCAAACATCATGTGTGTAATTCAGGGCACAATTCAAACAGGATGAAAAACATTGTTCTTGACTACCATAGGCTGCATATTTTTCTGAAATAAGGCCCCAGTGGGCAGAAGGAGAGGGACTTGGCTCCCTCTGGGCAGCAGCATCTTAACTTATTGTGCTTATTTTGTTTTTATTGCTGCAAAAAAATTCCTCTTATGGAACAATAAAGATCTCAGCTGACATGAAACAGCTGTAATGGTGTCTGACTATTACTAACAGCACAAAGAAAAAATGGTTTTAATGTGGTTTACTGCGGCACCCTCATAACATTTTCTCTTTGTTGCTATAAAAGCTCACTGTGATTGTACAGGTGAAGTCATGTGACAGGATCAGAGCTCACCTCTCAAAACAGCTAGCAGCAGTCAGGACCCACTGGTTGTTGATCAGGGAGCCTCCACAGAAATGATCTCCTTTGGTCTGCAGACTGGCCTGCCAGGGCCACGATCCTGCAGGAGCATCTGCCCTTCCTGCAATCCTGGTGTTGAGCGGCGCAGTGCCACAAACTGGAGGGAAAGAAATTCATGTAAATGTTGCATAGGTATAGTTTACATTCAGGGCTCTGGAACAGCCCGAGGAAATCAGGTCTACTGAGTCAGTGATTCTCTTCATAAAACTTTTATAGGAGAGCCTTTCCTGATTTAACCTGAATTTATTTTTATTGTATTATACCTGTATTTTAATTACTTAAAATGTATTTTTCTTGTTTTTATCTGTTTCTTCATTTATTTATTTTTTTACGTGTTTTATCTTAAAGCCTGATGGTTTTTACAACCTGTGTATTTTCTGCTCTTGTAAAGGCACTTTGTAACATGGACTTTGAAAAGGCTCAATAAATAAAGATCATTATTATTAAAAAGATAAAATGCTGACACCTGCTGCTAAGATTTAGCATGTTGCTTGCTGCTGGAAGCACAGCAGGAGCTGATGTAAGATTCAGAGGATTTGTGTTGATGTTCCGGACAGGAAGTTAAATGAAAGTTACTAGGACACATCCTGAGGAAGGTCTGAACCACACTTAATCACAATTTAACCAACTTCTGTGGAGAGAAAGGATTTGACTCTTATGGAGCTTCAAAAGTGCAACTAAAAGCTGCTTTTCAAACCTGGACTTGATTCATTTTGAGGGTTCAAAAGTTTTGAACTCAGAAGAGAACAGTAATTCAATGAACAAAAGAAAGAATGAGGATAGAACTCACCATCTGACTGGGCCTTGCTTCCTGCAGGAGAGACAAAGAACAACACATTAATCGAAGATGGTTTTGACAGACATATTTACATTTCTGAGAACAAAAGCGACCGGTTCCTCCTGTGTTCCTGAGGCCCAATCTGCATCTTTTAAATGCAGAACTTTTGCTACATTTCCACCTCCCGTCCAGACTAAAAGAGAGAGCCTGGCTCTGCCATCCCTTCACACAAAGCAATCCCAGTCCCTGTTCTCATCTGTGACACCACGATGGTGGAACGAGCTACCACACGCCATCAGAGCAGGGCGTCCCTCTCTAACTTCAAGAAGCTCCTGAAAACACCCCTAAACTCTAACATGCGCTCCCTACAATTCTCTGGTATTGATTGCACATTTTGGTAACTCTCTTGCTGTATTGATGCTTGGTTGGTGTATGCTGTTCCTCAAATTTAAGTCACTTTGGATAAAAGTGTCTGCCAAATGAGTAAATAAATACAATAATATAATGAAGTGAAATTCACAAAATCAACATTTTGCATAATAAGTACTATTTATACATGAAGTATCCTGCATTTTGCTGATAATACATTCTGGGTTGCAACTTCTCTCATATTAATAACAATAATACATTTAATTTGTAATGCACTTTATATTTAAGCAAATCCCAAAGTGCTACATACTAAAGGCAAGTGTTAAAATTAAAAACACACGAAGAGCATGAAAATAAAAATAAGGAAAAAAGCAAGAGTTCATTCAAAAGCTCTCCTAAAAAGGTGGGTTTTAAGGCAACGTTTAAAAGCATCCACAGTCTGTGGTGTCCTCAGGTGGTCAGGGAGCGCATTCCACAGACTGGGAGCAGATGAGCAGAAAGCCCCATCTCCCATTATACGGAGCTTGGTCCTGGAAGGTTTCAGGAGATACGCTGAGGCAGATCTGAGGGCACGTGTTGAGGTGTGTGGGGTGAGGAGTCATGTTTGCGCACCCTCAACAGGATCGTAGCAGCTGTTCTGGATGTACTGCAGCTTCTGAAGGCTTTTCTCAGGGATCCCACTGAGGAGCGCATTGCAGTAGTCCAGCCTGGAGAATACAAAAGCGTTGACAAGCTTTTCCGCATCTGCCGGAGTGAGTGTGGGAGTTAGGGAATGTTCCTGAGGTGGAAAAAGGAGGTCTTGTAGAGATGTTTGATGTGAGCCTCAAAGGTCAGATGAGAGACCATTTTTACACCCAGGTTGGTGGCTGATGTTGAAAGTGGAATATTTTGGCCAGAGAAGGTGATGCTGGTAATGTCAGATGACCGAACCTGGTGTGGAGTGCCGACTAAGATGGCTCTTGGAGCCATTTAGCTGCAGAAGGTTTTGCTTCACCCACGCCTTTACCTCCTCCAGACAGGTGGTCAGAGTGGATGATGGCAAGGCAGCAGAGGGGGTTGGGTTTGTCCTGAGGTAGAGTTGAGTGTCATCAGCATAGCAGTGGAATGAAATCAGGGGCATAGGAGCAAATAAAGCACTTAAATTCTAATTTCTAATGACTTTTGAAAACAGAATGTACTTATTAGTGTGGCTGAAAGACGGTGACAGAAGATGGGGAGAGGGGAGATTATGAAAACTCGAAGAGGGAGAGGGTCAGAGAGACGGAGTATAATATAACTAGAACAAAACCGACTACATAAAAACCATGGAACAGCTGCTAGTAGCTGCCACCTTACAAATGTATTCAGTTATCCTAATGTTACACTTGATGTAGCTGTCTGAGTCTTCAAAGCAAACTCTGATGACATGCCATTGCCCTAACAAAGTCTTTTTACTATGTGAGTTTTAGAATTTACTACATCTAGTAGCTATCAATACAACTTACAAGCTCATCCTCCTCAGTTTTTTCTACTCCCGCTCCTATGACCTCTGTCTTCTTCCTCTTAAAATCCTGCAGGATGCTTGTCTCTGTGTGAACATTTTGACTACTTTTCAATTGTTTATGGACACGTAGCAGAGACACATACACACCTATTGGCACAAGTTTTTAAGGTCAAGGATGGTCACAAACAGAGGCAAAAAAGTAGCCCAGGAGATTGTCCCTGGTAAACCCGCTCTCCAGACAAAGCATTTGTTGGGGCCTCTGGGTCTTTAGAGACCTTTATTCCTCTTGCCCTTGCCCTAACCTAACCTAATTTACTCAAGGAAAAAGTACAATGACTCCCATAACAATTAAAAGAAAAAAATGACAAACCTATTTCATCTGCTGTTCATCAGGTTGGAAACAGCTGCTGTGCAACAGGTTATTTCTAGGGAATGCACTTTGCTTTGCTGGCTGATTATCTTTAGCTATTTCTGTTTAATAATTATTTTCCTTTTTAAACCTCCATGAATGTGTTGATAAGATCACTTTAAAATATCACGCTTGCTGCCCAGCCGGCTATTGTTGCCTGTATCTTTTATTATGGACATGTAGCCAACCAAATGTCTTGCTTTGCAGCAGCACAGGCAGCCAACACAATCTGATTATTCCTAAAGCATCTAAATAATCTTTACAACGCAAAGAATTATTGTGGCAGTAACACGGAGCAGCTCGTTGTTGACGCAGGTAAACCTACATACAGAGGAAGCTGTGCGTCATGCGTAAAACCCAACAGGACTGTTTTATCCACCATATTTTCTCTCTCTGTACATCTCAAAAAGGATTGTTTCCTGAATAAATAACAGCTGGTAGCTGCTGAGTGAAGCCAAGATTCGTTTCATCGGCGACATTATGTTTATGGACTCACCGGACACCACTATAAAACAAATAAAAAAACAGGCTAATATCCATCAAAAGAAAGCGATGCTCTTTTCAACAACAGAATACTGTTAATATATCAGAATCAATCTAGGGATCATCTAACTTAGATGTTACAGTGTGAAGTTTACGTTTTCTCTGCAGAAACTAAAGACGCTTGTCCCCCTCATGTACAATGGCTGATGACGTGGCCAAGGGGGAGCATGGAGAGAATAAACAAGGTGAGACCGAGCACTGAGCCTTGAGGGACACCACAGGTGACGTTGCGTGTCAGGGATTTAGCCTCTTCCAAGGCGACATGCTCAGTTCTCCTGTTGAGGTAGGATGAGAACCACTCATGGACAGAGTCAGAAACACTGATAGTGGAATTTAGACGGTGGAGGAGGATGTTGTGGTCCACAGTGTCGAATGCTGCAGTCAAGTCCAGGAGGATGAGAAGTCATCAGCAGGTCATTTGTGACCCGGACCAGGGCTGTTTCTGTGCGGAAACCAGACTGAAATTTTTCGAACATGTTGTTTTGTTTTAGATGGTCCTGAAGCTGTGCGGCAACTACATCTTTTCCAGCAGCTTGGAAAAGAATGGAAGGTTGGAGATGGGCCTGTAGTTGGCAAAGACTTCTGGTTCTAGGGTGGGTTTTTTGAGAAGTGGCCTGATGACACATGGAACATGGCCAGCCTGCAGGGAGTGTTTAATGACCTTTGTGATGAGGGGACTTATGGCATGGAGGTTGGATTTTACCAGGGCTGTGGGGAAGGGGTCCAGGGCACAGGTGGATGGTTTCATCTTTTTGATGACAGCAGTGAGGTTGGGAAATCCCAGTCTGTGGGTCGGCAGTCGGGACAGGCAGTGTGAAGAAACTGGATAGCAGGGAGCAGATGGTGTCGTCTTTTTTTCTGAAAAAAAATTATGAAATTGTTGCACCTCTGCTTCTGAATGAGAGTGAGTTTGCGGATGCTGTGGTGAATCTCTGTACACTGGAATCCACTCCATGTTTTCTGGCCTGCTTGGTGTGGAGAGATGTTGCGATGTTTCCCGTGTTGCTAGCACTGAGAGCGACACTGCTCTGATGACGCGGCAGACGTGTGACAGTGGTCCAGATAGATAGTATATGACAATTTAAGAAAGACAAATGTGGGGAAAAACCCTTTTTAAACTTTATTTTAGGGCAAAATCATCAAAAAAAAATTTTTTTTTTCCAGTTACTGATTATATACATGCAGATTTTATGTCCTGGTGACCTGTGAAAGTGCAGCTACAGATCTCTGCCCATTGATTTAGGTAGGGGCCTGATCATGTTACTTAAAATAACTTCTTCACCAACCAAACTATGAAAGTCCACACAAGATTACATGCGGAGAAGATAATGTCCATGTTTCAGCTCTTATTTTGAAAGGCTTTTTGATGCATTACTGTTTTACCACAGAGTGTGAATATGATCTACATTTATGGTAAAAACAATTCCAAAATGATTTGTGGTTAAATGCAAAGCCTGCCCTCCAACAATCTTGTTGTTATATTTACATGGGTGGAAATTTGTGATCATCTGTAACATTTATTACTAAACTCAAACGCAAAGATTTTTGATTAGTGACACTTTAAACCTGGTCTTTCTTTTGTTGTTGTTGTTCCTTTGTCCATCTCTAGTTTTCAGCAATAAATTTGATTTATTCTTGAACCCATCGCTCCTGTGCCTTGATTTTTCATCCGCAAATTCATTTTTATTTGTTAGTCCCATATCCCCTAGATGCCAGGGATATAACACAACTGAACTTACTGACAAATTTCAGCTCTGGATCAACTTAAATTTAATATCATTACTTTATTATTATTACTAATATTTACTTAATATGATAAAGTAACTTATGAACTTGCATGTTCTGCAAGTGGAGGATTTTGTGTCTGTTTCATGCTGGCTTGTCACTCAGAAGAGCAAATTGCAGACAGATTTTATAGGTAAAGCTTCATAAATTTTCCATAAAGTTTTGTACTTTTCATTGCACCAGCTTTGTAAAAAGTTTAAATAAATTCAGGATTTCCACTAGTACGTGATACTTTTTCCTCTAACAACTACCAGACAGCAGTAATCAGATCTCAAACATGATTAGTTCAGGTGTGCACAGTGAGGAGGGTCCTTACCTTGTGTCAGGAGAGTCAGCAGAGCTGCCACACAGATCACTTTGTAGAAAGCCATAACTGTAAATGCATATCATCAGATCTGCACCACCATAAATACCCTTCTTCTCCCCTCCCTCTCACCTTCTGTCTACCTCCAACACAAACACACCTGTCCAATGACACACCTGACCTTACATGAATTGAGTTTATTTGGACAGGGACTCACTTGTTATCTGCCACTAAACTGTCTGTGAAGGTTCTCAGTCATCCAGGTCAAAGTTATCCAAGGAAGGTTATAATCAAGGGCAACTGGACCTGGTTCAAGAGACTGGAAGACGTTTCATCCCTCATCCAAGAGACTCAGGGTTCTTGCAACATTTTTGAAGTCAAATTTAATGCTTTTTAAGACTTTTTAAAGACCTCAACAAATGTAAATTTAAGACCCCAACATTTTGAAACTATTTCTTTGACAGAAAAAAATGCACCTTATCTCTTTTAGTAGGCACTGCCATATTTGGCAGTTTTATTTTCACCCCAGGTGAATGATTGTTTACACCTGTCATTAAAATGCATTTTGGGTGATCAGATGGCCACATGAAAGTACATGTGTGAATCCAACAGAAACATATTGAGGACAGATTGTGATCCGATCAGTAAAACCACCTCAAGGACACCATGACCACATGAATGCATTGTTGTCCATCCACATACAACAACTTCTTGGGTGGAAATATGTCACAGTCTTCTGCAAATAAAATCCAAAAGTCTGACAGCGCAGACAGGCGCCTAGACAGTCTGTCTATTCAGTGTTGTGCACTGTTCTCAAACAGTGCCGATTATTGATCATGCTCATGTTTTTGGTGAACTGATGATGCTCATTTATGAAGGTGAACTAGGGCTGGGCAATGAAACAATATTGATAATTATCGTGATCAATAACAACATAAAAAATGTTCAGTAAATATTTGATTTAATTTATTTGAATCACGAACGAATTAGCACGTTCTTTTCTATTAAGATGACTATTTTGTTGAGGACTGAATAAAGATTTTATCAAATTTTACTCTCTGTTTTGAATGTTCTACCTCAGATTTGTGAAGTCATCCACTGTTTGATACCAGGCTGCTGTTTAGCATCAAGTGTTTATCATGTTGTGACCATAAATAAAAGTTTAAAAGCACAATTAACCATCTGGTTTCTTCAGCTTTCACTCAGGAGCAAAAATCAGCCTTTAAACCTATAATGATTTGACATTTAAAGTGAAGTTTTTTAACATTTTGGCCATATCACCCCGCCCTAACTCATACACTGCTATTAAACTCAATATAAACTACTAAAACAACAGAAAAGAGTAGCCTACACATAAAGAAAGGTAGCAAGTAAACGATGCCGGACCGAACTCAAGTTTCACTTTCACTTACAGCCGAGCTGACACACAGGCGCACCGCTAAAGGGAGAGGTGAACATAGATAATCCATGGAGGAAACTAATCACAGTAAAAGACACACTTCAGAGAGTTATTTTAACCTGTGATGATAGATCATTTTTTGTACCTGCGCAAATGAAAGGAGGATGTGATGTACAGTTGTTTGAGCAAGACAGAACGATTGGTTCTTCCTCCAACCACTTTAACTTGTCTCTCAATCTTGCAGCCACGACTGACGATAATATGACAGGCAGCCAGACGTCAAAGTCTGCAGCTAAGTAAACGTAACTATATTAATATCAGAGTATTGCATTGTTAAATTTAAAAAAAATCATACAAATACAGGCTAATTAGGCGTTTTAGGTGACTGTGCATGACAATTTCCCCACCAGCCTTAAACGCATCATTGGCAAATGATAATACCTACAGCAGATAATACCTACAGCAGATTTACGGTTAATTTAAGACAATTTAAGACCTTAATTTAAAGTCTTAATTGAGACTCTTTAAGGAGCTCCAGGAACCTTGAGATTTATTCTCTAAAGACTGACTGGTAGGGCAATTCAGCTATTTACAGTTTATTTCTGCTGACACACGTTTTCCTTTTTTAAGAACTCTACACACTGCATTCAAAATGCCCTAAACACATCTCAAAATGAAGTATTTGCATCAAATGGTAAATACTTTTTTCATATTAGTACATTTTTGGATATCATGCACACACTGCTGTTCTAAATCTAAAGCTTCTTGGTCTTTCATAGGCTTATACATTTCCATACAATGTACTAGCGTGAAAATAGCTGAGAGGGGTTGAAAAGTACACTGTAAACTTGAATGCAATGTTGAAACAGAAAATATTCATTTGGCAAAGCATTACTACACAGTAACAGCAGCACAGTGTTGTTTACAGCATACAAGAAAAGAAAACCGAAAGTGTGTGTGTGTGTGTGTGTGTGTGTGTGTGTGCAGTATAGTTGTACAAAATATTGTAGTACAGCAGGATAACAAACCTCATTCATACAATGCAGTGCAGTAAATGGATGGCTTGGAGCTGCAAATGTTTATGCAAACAGTGCAATAGTATGCAGTAATATGTATTTTACAGTCTGATACTGTGATGCTGAAATAGTCATTAGATAGTTGTGACCTGTTCACATTTCTGAAGGTTTAAATTATGGACGCCACTCTAAAGCGACTCAAGTTAGGCTCTCATGGTCAACCCATGTTTGATCACATGATCATGGCCCTGATCTCATCAGAGATGGCGCTCCTTCCTCCTCTTCTTTGCCCTTGTCCTCTTCCTCCTCCTCCTCCTCCTCCTCTTCTTCCAACTCTTCCTCCTTGAACCTGTCCTTGTTGTCATCCTCTGCCACTCGGGATAAGAATTTCCTTTTTTTCTATTGGCTATTTTTGGCAAAACTCCCAAACATTACACATATCTTGCAGTAGTAACTAATTCTTGCAGAACTCTTTTAACTGTAGACAGGTGAACCAGTGGTGCAGAGTTCATTTACCTTTACTCATTTAGCTGACGCTTTTATCCATAGCGACTTACAATTGCTTTACATGTCAGAGGTTGCACGCCTCTGGAACAACAAGGGGTTAAGTGTCTTGCTCAGGGACACAATGGTAGATGGGTAACAGTGAGATTTGAATCCAGGTCTCTCGCACCAAAGGCATGTGTCTTATTCACTGCTAAATCACCACCAATAGTGTTATGTAGGTTATAATGTTATGTAATTGCTGGTGGGATTACTGCAGCGATAACGTTCCTCTGTATTTAATGGCACTGTCACTTTAAGGGTACTGCATGTGACGGATCGCGTGAGAGGTTAGAGTTTCCGACGGGACAGGGGGAAAAAACAGAAGTGTCGGGCCCGCAGTGTAGAGAAACGGCAGGGGATGTACTTTGCTTTATTGATACGGAGGATATGTCCATAAACTAGGGTTGGGAGAAAAAATAGATTCTTAGATGCATCACGATGCAGGTGTGGAAGATTCTGGTTCGATTAAGAAATGTCTAAAAATCGATAATTAATTGTTAATTGATTACGTTATGTTGATGGAACACGAAAGGCGGAACTCACGGAAGTGCAGCGCCCGGACTGTCTGTGCCGTACACATAACGAAGGTTTCAATATGGCAACCCAAGTTCTATTAGCACAGGTGGAGCCCTCTACTGGACTCTATGGGTACTACCTCTCCGGCGGCTGTGGCTCAGGATATAGAGCGGGTTGTCCGTTAATCGGAAGGTCGGCGGTTCAATCCCGGCTCCCCTAGGCTGGAAGTCGAAGTGTCCTTGGGCACGATACTAAACCCCTGCCCCTGCCGGCTGTGTGTGAATGATAGTTTCTGTTTGAGTACTTAGGCTCTGTGAATGAATGGTGAATGTATAAGCGCTTTGAGTGGTCGAAAAGACTAGAAAGGCGCTATACAAATACAGAGCATTTACATTCCTATCACACCCTTCAGCACACAGCGGTGGAGCGGCAGAGCTCCATCGTAGAGGGCTGTGCTAATAGAACTAGGGTTACCATATCGTAATCTTTGTTCTATCTCACATAGGCTCCGCCCCCTACTGGACTCTATGGGTACAGTGGGCGGAGCCCGATGACTGTCCACCCAGCCGCGACAAGCCACAGCTCACCTCACTGACACGATCGGCCACAGCTCCATCGTAGAGGGCTGTGCTAATAGAACTAGGGTTACCATATCGTAATCTTTGTTCTATCTCACATAGGCTCCGCCCCCTACTGGACTCTATGGGTACAGTGGGCGGAGCCCGATGACTGTCCACCCAGCCGCGACAAGCCACAGCTCACCTCACTGACACGATCGGCCACAGGTCACCAGCCACAGGCCATAAGCTGCCTCTACTGAGCTAGGGGTTTGGCATGACCAAGAGGGATCTGATCCAGCCAGATCCAGACACTTGAACTGTCCTGACCCCACAAAGGGACGTCCAGCACAGTCAGTCTAAAAAATGTTTTCCGCAACAACGAGTAGTCTATGGTAGACACCAGTCTCTTTCTTCACAGATCCTGAGAAGGAGCCCGACACATCCAAGAGCTAACAACGCGCAAACGGACATGGTGAAGAACACAATGCCGGTGTGCAAATCTCCTCAACGTTCACCCTGCTGAAGAGGGCCGTTGACACAGCCACACCCCGTGTGGAGTGAGCCCGTCAGGGGACGCGCTGTCAGCTGAGGAGCATTGTGGATAAAAAATTCTTGGCCCTCACTGCCACCAAACCCTCCATAAATGGGAGTTTGGTCCAAGGGGTGCCGCATTCGAAAGGGTCAAACCGGCCAAACAAAATTAGCGGATTGTGGTGTCCTGAACGCACCACGGCCGGTCGCTCCGTTGACGTCTGCAACAATGTTGTCGTAGCGTCTTCGGTGACACGTTCACTATCGGAAGAACTGTCGTGAGGAGCAGTGACGAGCCGGGGAGCTCTGCTTTACACAGCTGTTGGCCACTGTGGGAGAGATTGTGTCCCCTCTGCTGCCAAATGGCGCAGCGAGCCGCTCGCAGAGGCAACAAGCGATCTTCTCTGCCTCGCTATGACGGGAGAGACGTGGCTAGTGGCAGCATCTCTCCAGCAATAGCGGGCCAGGCCGCTTCTACACGGTTACGACCTCTCGTTGGAGCAGTTGCCTGTATGTCTGTGTGGCACGAAAACACTGCCGGTGAGCTAGCAGCACACCCGAGCGGGTTCACGTAAG